AATCGACAAGAGTAAAGTTGGACTTTTGCACATGCTTACAGATGCCCACAGACTTGCGCCAATACTGACGTGTGTATATAGCCACGAACGCCCATCGATTTGCTTAGACCCAAAGACTTGCTTTTATGGTGACTCGTATGTTTGGACGGTCGCAAGGCTATCGATTGGGACGGGTGGTGCAACTGACCCGGGGCTGTTGAGGGGCAGGTCCCACACTACAAAGATGGGGGGGGCGAGGGGGTACATTTCATTCCTTTCACAAGGGGCCCATGTGTTGGTGCACTTCCGATTTGCACGGTTGGCTATGTACGGTGCGAAAGAAGTTCAACATACGTGCGGAACGTAAGATGCAGAGCAATGAACGGTAAGGCAAGCCCCCCACCCAACCACCACTTTTATATCCTTCTCAAAGATGGTTTAATCGCCTCTTCTGATATGGTGCATTCATTGCATACAATTAATGGAAAGGCAACCACTGCGTGGCTGCAGTTGTGATACGAGCCATCATTGAAAACATTGACAATACATCATCAACATCGTCACCACCACCACCAATCTCAGCAGGGTGGAGCCTGGATCGTCTGTGGCTGAGTGATAGCCACGCCTACACAGGTGGTAGAGGCCTCTATCCGAGCCACGTGCTGGCCAACGCAGGTACAGTTTCAACAACAAAATATCAAAATCTTAATTTGAAGCTTTCGTGACTGCAGGAATCCATACTCTTTGGTTCTTTCGGTAAAGTCACGTAGGTATAAAATAAATCACGACGTTTCGGGCGCAACACAAGCGTCCGTCATATTTTCCCACCTGATGATGGACGCTTGTGTTGCGCCCGAAACGTCGTGATTTATTTTATACCTACGTGACTTTACCGAAAGAACCAAAGAGTATAAAAATATCCAAATGTTATACTGTACTGTGCGCCTATGCTCTATGGCACTGGTTCTTAACCTTTAGTTGAGCCTTGCACCCCTTTGGTTCCCAATCGTTAACATGTTATAATGTTAATACAAACATAAGTTTCATGAAACAAAGTAGTTGTACCTACTTGTCCGTGCTTAATTTGTGTTTGAATGATTTACTTTTTTTTAAATCTTCCCACGTCTCGCATCCCAAGGAAGGGCATCTCGCACCCCCCAAGGGAGTGCGTGCACCCCCAGGTTAAGAACCATCACTCTGTGGGTTCCCCTTAATATTACGGCGCTTGGAGGTTGATTGTCGTCACTCAGAACGGCGTCAGTGTCAAGTTCTGTATTGCTTTCTCGAGACGTGTTGCCCTACTTATATACGTTGTTGTATAATGCTTCAGTATGAGTTAGTTTAGTTCGTGTTAGGTCCATTGAGCCAATGATTCATTTTACAACGGCGACCCTGCCAAAAAGGCGAGGCGCGTTCAATGGGAAGGGTTTATAGGGCCTGCATGGCACGGCTGGTACCACAGGAGCCAGCACGCTCCATGGGCAGGGATGGTTTACTGGGGCTGCATTGAACAAAAAACGACATTGTCTGACTACGAGTAGAGAACTCGTTGCGGAAATGCAATGGAAAGTGACAGACAGCTGTCATTGCCACGCTCTTCTCATAATCCGTTATCTTATTTAATAATAAAATGCTAAGATAATCAGTATTGTGAGGTTTGTTTTTCCATGATCTAGGATTTAAATAATAATATTCTGGGGAAAGAATTACATGAATAGGAGCACAAATTGAAACGTAAGGACAATTGTAAATTAACCGTGGCAAGTTGTCTGTGTTCGTTACCCCCGTTTCTTCCGTGTTCCTATCCAGTACATGTCGTCCGAACTTGTTTTTCCGCCAATTTAATTCAATGCAATGTTTATTTCTTAAACGGATAATTCCGTGTAGCCAGTTAGGGGCCGTCCATAAATTACGTCACGCACCTAGGGGGGGGGGGGGGGTTAGACATTTGTGACGATGTGTGACGAGGGGGGGGGGGTTGAGAAATGTGGCGTCACATCAAAATGCGCAACTTTAAATAATTATATATAATTGTTATAACAACACTAATTGTTATAACAACACTCCGACAACATCAGAGTGCAGCGCCACATTAAATACGCACTACAATGACAATAGTTAAGCGATTTGAGGCAGGTTTTATTTTCAAAATGGAAATATGGTTTTGGGGGGGGGCAGAGCTTTGTGACGTCATATTTGAGGGGGGGGGTCTGACTTTTTGTGATGCCGTGTGACGAGGCGGGGGGGTAAAACATCGTCCAAAATCGCGTGACGTCATTTATGGACGGCCCCTTACCCAGCTAGTTCCGGTGGCAACGGCCGGTAGCCACTGACAACAGAGTTATTGTTGCAGTGGAGAAGAGCCCAGCCAGCAGCCAGCCATGAAACTCGAGGCATAGATTATTTTGATTAAAACCAGAAGTATATGATGACTAATACATAGTAATAATAATATGTAACACGTCAAACTTCAGACCACGCAGCGGAAATTCCGAAAACATCACCAGATTTTTCCAAACGTGCGAGTCGCCATTATGTTGTCGTGGGACATTTGATTTCACGTTTGACGTGCAACTCTTGTCACCAAAATTAAATGTGACATTTGACTTTGCGAGTAATTCTCGTTAGGTCGGTCTTGTCTGTACTCACTCGTCCGATACAGTGTCCAGCACACACAGTCGTGTTTCTCCATGAGCCTCGGAGCAACACGAAGGGAATCTCAAATACGGGATTCTCCAGATTGTAGAAAAAAGTCCCAGGAAGTAAAACGCGCTCCAAACTTGTGCCCGGTGTCAGTAAAGTTACACGGATCTGGCATGCACGCACATACACATTACACAACCCCGGTTAAAAGACACAGCTCCAACTTTTTTGGGTAAAAACACAGGATTGATGATCTATAGCACTCACCAATTCACCGAAGTCACTCGCTCATCGGCGGTCAGGCTGGATTGTGTGAGGAGCTCACAAATCCTTGAAAGATCTAGACACATTCCCACCAGTGAGCTCCTCCGGCGGGCAAGGCTGCGTTGTCTGGGTCATGTAGCCCGCATTCCCAGCCACCGCATGCCCAAGCTGCTTTTGTTTGGCCGGATAGAGGGGGCTAAACGGGCGCGACACGAGTTGGAAAAGAAATTGACTGCTACGGCACAGGAGGATGTGGAGCTGAGTGGACATGCCGAAAACTGATACCAGCGCTGTCAAGATCGGCCTCTATGGAGGAGGCTCGTGAAGGACGCTGCTTCTGGCCAGTTGGAGGAAATCGCCCTCCAACAACAATGGAGGGCAGAGGAGCGACGCTCACAACAACGAGCCGAGCGCCGGGCGGATAAAATCCAGCAAGTTGGCACAAATAGGGAGCACAGCTGGTGCATCTGCCAGTCGTCTCAGTCAGTCAACCCGTGGCACCTGGGTCTGTCCAAGTGACCTCCTGTCAGCAGCGAGCATTCGACACTTCACGTGGCCTCAGAGTGCACCTGGCCTGGCACAAGCGCCGCGGAGACGTCACCGCCAATTAGCGGCGATTGGCGGTGACGTCACCACCAATTAGCGGCGATTGGCGGCGGCTGCTGCTCCTGATTGCTGTTGGTGGTGGCCAAGGCTGGCAGCAGCGGGTTTTTTTCCATCGGGTTTTTCACGGTTTTAATAAAAATAAGTATAACCCGTAAAAACAAAGTTTTTCACTATAAATCCTTTATATGCGTGGCGGCGAGAGTCCTCTCGTCCTCTGGCTTGAGATGGCTGCCACCTATGGGTCAGATGATTGTCTGCCCCCATTAAGCAATTGGTAATTAAATATTTAATTTGTTTTCCCTAAACAGTGTAAAATGTTTGGAAAAAAATTTTCACGAACATTAATTGTCTCGCACAACGAGTCTGTGTGCAAAATGTCAGCTCGATTGGATCACGGGAAGTGGGTTAAAAAAACGACCGAAATATTTGCACGGTCGTAAGCAAGCAAGCACGCAAACACGCAAGCAAGCAAGCAAGCGAACTTAATATAAAGGATTTAAAAACGATCATCTCAGATGGCCAAAAATCCGGTTTTATTGCCTGTTAATCCCTATAATCATAGCCCCCACCAAAGAGAAGACAAACAACACGTTCCGCTACAAGATGATGGTTAAAGGTCTTCAAGACGCCGATGGAGTATTATTATTGGCTGTCCGATGGCCGTGAGTGGCGCAAATTCGCCGTGGAGCTGTCCAGCATCGCCACGTACAGCGCCGCATCCGAGAGGAACGTCTTCTCCACCACGGCCTTCGTTCACTCCGAGCTGAGGAGGTGCAGCCCGAGCGTGGCGTCGTTGGAGAAGGCCGTCTTCATCGAGAGCAACATTCACGACTTCTTCCACGGCGCGATCGAGATGATCGAAGAGGACAGCGAATCCGATGACTCTGCCGCCGATTGACGACAACTTGACTTGCCGGATTAAAACCGTGGTTTTTTTTTCGACATCTTTTTTAATAAATAAAACCAATAACCCAATAAAATTTACCGAAAAAACTAAATAGTTTTTTTTTATTAAAACCAATAACCCAATAAAATTTGCCAAAAAAACTAAATATTTTTTTTAATAAAACCAATAACCCAATAAAATTTGCCGAAAAAACAAAATCTTTTTAAATAAATAAAACCAATAACCCAATAAAATTTGCCAAATAAAACCAATAACCCAATAAAATTAGCCGAAACAAAAAATATTTTTAAATAAATAAAACCAATAACCCAATAAAATTTGCCAAAACAACTAAATAGTTTTTTTTATAAAACCAATAACCCAATAAAATTTGCCAAAAAAACTAAATCTTTTTAAATAAATAAAACCAATAACCCAATAAAATTTGCCAAAAAACTAAATAGTTTTTTTTCCCACACCCTTGGTGGTAGCGAGCGAAGCGCTCGCGATTGCTCGGCTCGCGGTGACGACCCCTCGCGGGTCGTGACGTCACCTGCGTCTCGGAAGTAGTTGACGGCACAAAAAAACCCGCGTGGCTGGAACAGCTGATCGGAGAGTGGAGACACGGGGAGAGACGGGGGGACAGAGATACCGGGAGAGAGAGAGAGACGTGGAGAGAGGAGGGAGATACGGAGAGACGGAAAGAGAGACGGGGAGACATAGAGATACGGGGAGAGAGGAGGGAGAGACGCAGGGAGGAGAGACACGTGGAGAGACGGTCGATAGGGGAGAGCGGCAGGGATGTCGGGAGACACGGGGAGAGAAGAGGTGTGATCGACGCGGAGGTATCCAGGCAGAGACGTGGAGAGAGGAGAAGCCCTGGGAGAGACGACAGGCACCCCAGCGCGTAACGTTGAACTTCTTTGGCGCCGTACGTAGGCAACCGTGCCGATCGGAGGTCACGGTTGTGGTTTGTAATGGAAGTGGACATCCCAGGTCGCAGCTGTAGCAGCAGCAGCAGCAGCGAGGGTCCATCGCTCATGGGGCTCAGCGACGAGGTGCTGCTCCACGTGCTCAGCTTCGTGCCCTGCCCCGACCTGCTGGGCAGCGTGAGGAAGGTCAACCAGAAGCTCCGGGCTCTCAGCGTGGACCGCAGCCTCCTCGCCGACATCAAGCTGAGCGGAGTCTACCAGGTTTGGGGGTGCAGGCTGCTCGCGGGGGCCGTTGTGCACCACCACGGGCACCACCATCACTGGCACCACCACCACTGCCACCATCACACTCACCGCCACCATCATCATCGCCACCACCATCATCGCCACTGCCACCACCTTCATCACCACCACCACCATCATCACCGCCGCCACCATCACCCGTCACCACCACCGCCACCACCATCATCACTACCATCACCATCATCATCACCATCACCACCATCATCATCACCACCATCACTACCACCATCATCATCACCATCATCACCACCATCACCACCATCATCATCATCACCACCATCATCATCACCACCACCGCCATTGCCACTGCCACCACCACCGGCCTGGTGACATTTCACGGCCGTGCCCCGCTAGTCTTGACTTGTTGTGGCCCACTTGAGTGATTAGTTTCAATACGAAACAGCTGTACCTCGTCTTCATTTTCCATGTCCATGAAAACTTTTTACTTCCATTATATACCTATATAAAAAATATATCTTCATGGAATTCGAGGAATATAGGGTGCAATAATGTAGGATTATTGTTCAGTAGCATGTACTCTGGTGGTAGTGCCACACGCCGATAAGTCCCGACTCACAAGTCCTCGCCCACCTTTCAGCGGTTGCGTCCATCGCTTCGTGAAATGTCCTCGGCTAAGCCAAAGGCGCAGCTCTGCAATCCCTTGCTCGCCCTGCTGCCGGCTCCTGAGAGCCCCCGTCTGGAGGCGACGTGGCCGGCTCTGCCCTCGTTGGCCGTGCATCTTGGGAGAGGCGGGAGACGGAGGCGCACGGGGGATTTGGGAAGCGTGGACATTTTTTTGTCCAGACCGCCACGCCAGGAGATCGAACCAGCATCGACAATATAAAAAAAAGAGAATGTGTTTTTTTTTTTGACAGCTATATTGTGTTATCGTTTATGAAATTGCTTCTCGCAATTGCTTACGAGGTGTGTAGCTTTTTTTCAGAAGCAGCCTGGCAACAAATCATCGCTCAACAAAGTGGCTAATCACGTGGAAATGTATAGCCAGTCAAACACTCTGAACGCGTGTTGATTCTAAGTGTGGAGGGAAAAAAACTGAAAAATTCACGCAGCCAAGGGGGGAGAACATGCAAACTCTAAATATACAAGCGTCAGGGTCAGGATGGAACCCACAAAACTTCTGTATACCACACAAAGTAAGTGACAATTTGCCACTTGCTGTCATCCAGCCAGGCGGCGAGCCGGTGCCAATAACTGCCAAGCTCTGCAGTCCCCTATTTATACATCGAGTGTTAACAAAGCTCCACTGATCTTGCTGGTTGTAATCTCCAGTTAAGCATCACATAAAATATTGTCAACATATTTCCTTGCTGCTCCAACATTCCTCCTCCGGTTTTGTTTATAAACCAAACCAATGTGACATATTTTCCCATGACATAACAACGTGATTTGATTGGATCTGTCGCTGGATGGTGGAGCGTTAGGCTTGAAAATGTATAACCCAAAAGAAACCAATTCCGAATGACGGTTTTGAACGGGAAAGCCTACGTATAGAAAAACAAAACATTGATAGTGCTATGAGTATAAGAAACACATCACCACCACGTCCCTTCTCTCTGCTCTTCCCGTCGACACCCTCCCACCCACCCACCCGGGACCAGGTGACCGATCAAGACGTCCGCGAGATCTTGGAGTGCGCGCGCCCGGGCGTGCAGAACCTCGACCTGGGCGGCTGCTACTGGCTGTCGGCGAATGTGCTGGACGCGGTGTGCCGCTGCCGCTCACTGGTGCGGCTGGACGTGACGGGCTGCGCTCTCACCGCGACGCGTCTGGACCGCATCCTCGGCGGTGCCCCGGCACTCGCCTCGCTCGCCATCGACGTGCGCCCGGGCTTCGACGCTGCGCGGCTCGGAGCGGAGGCCCGCGCGGTGGGTAGCGGTCGTCGCCGTTGTTGTCGTGGTTGCCTCCGCCACCCCCCACCCGCCCCACTCTGGTGGCCATAGGTGGACGGGCCCCGTCCAGCACCGCCACGTTTTTTTCCGCACTGGTGTGGTGCCGAGGTTGCGCCGATCCTCCGTTGTGTTGTTTAGCGTTTAGGTTTGTTTGGGGCGTCGCTGTGGCGAGACGTTATCTGCAGGAGGTCGTGGGTTCGATCCCGACCCTGACGCCGGTTGTATATTTGGAGTTTGCACGTCTCTTTCTCTCTTCATGGTCGCGTGGATTTTTTTCCGGGTCCTCCGGTTTTTCCCTCCACATTTAGTAACATGCTTTTAGAGTATTTCGCTGCTATAACGTTCCACGTGATAAGCCACTTCGTTATTTGTGATGGCCAGGTCGCTTCTGAAAAAGAGCTATATAGCTCAGTGGGCCTTACCTGGTAAAATAAAAAATGTTCATAGTTTTTATAGTCGTTAGCGCTGTGCAAATTCCGGTTTTATTTTCCATCGTTGTTTTTGTCGTCGTTCTGAATAATCGGCTGGCCCAGAACCGGCCAGGTGCTTCCGGCGGTAGAGCGAGCGGCTCACAATCGGAAAAGGTCGCGAGTTGACTGAGCCCAGTGTCTCTTCCTCCATGGTCGATAAAATAGGTACTACTTTGTCGGGGGGATAGACTCACCCCCGTCATAGTCAAGTGAAAATTCCACCAGCGGGTAGGGGCTGTAAACAAGAAGCTAACACCTCCTTGCCGCCGATTCCAGCAGGAAATCACTTTTGAGCTTTGCACTTCACTGTTAGATCAGCGCGCCACACGATACTTCACGCACGCTCTCACACCTCTCTCGCACATCTTCCCCCTCGCGATCTCACCACCGCCGCCGCTGGCAGGCGTTGGCGCGCATCACCGAGCTGCGCCAGACCCTGCTGACGCCGTCGTACGGCGTGGTGCCGTGCTGCGTCGCCGTGCGCACCCTGCTGCTGCGCCTCGAGATCCCCGACTGCGACGAGGTCGGGGGGGCGCTGCCCCCCGCGCAGCTCATGGTGGGCCAGAGCAACATACCGTGCTACCGGCACCTGCGCGTGTTCGCCGTGCGGCTGGCGCCCGGCTTCAGCAACCAGGACGTGGCGCGCATCTACCTCTCGTCGCTGCCGTCGCGCCCGCCCAGCGGCATCGAGGTAGCGGCATGGCGAGCGAACCCACGCTCCCCCCCCACCACCACCCCCCACCACCACCACCCACCACCACCCACCACCCCACCACCACCTACCCCCCACCACCCCCCCACCACCACCCACCACCCCACCACCACCCCACCACCCCACCACCCCACCACCCACCACCCCACCACCACCCACCCCCCACCACCCACCACCACACCACCACCCACCACCACACCACCACCCACCCCCCACCACCCACCACCACACCACCACCCACCACCACCCCACCACCCACCACCCCACCACCACCCACCCCCCACCACCACACCACCACCCACCACCACACCACCACCCACCACCACCCACCACCCACTACCACCCACCATCACCCACCACCCACCACCACCCCACCACCCACCACCACCCACCCCCCACCACCCACCACCACCACCCACCACCCACCACCCACTACCACCCACCACCACCCACCCCCACCACCCACCACCACCACCCACCACCACCACCACCACCACCACCCACCCCCCACCACCCACCACCACCACCCACTACCACCCACCACCACCCACCACCACCCACCCCCCACCACCCACCACCACCCCACCACCCACCACCACCCCACCCCCCACTACCCACCACCACCCCACCACCCACCACCACCCCACACCCCACCACCCCCCACCACCCACCACCACCCCCCACCCCCCACCACCCACCACCACCCCACCGCCTCTCAGTCCTCTGGCCCCATTCCTGCCCCCGCCAGTAAATTGGGAGGTGGCAGCCCCTGTTCTGCAGCTGCCATCCCTCCGTAGCCAGCCGTTGTTCACTCGGTCACTCTTCCACTGCTACCCCCTTCCGCCCCCCCTCCACCACGTCATTTGTGATTGGGAGGTGACTCCTTCACTGCTCCGTTCGTTCTCTCTCTCGGTGGGTTATGAATTACAGGCAGAGCGGAGTGCCGTATCGCCACACGTCTTCACGAGACGGCGATAGCCCGATCGGTCACATGACCTATACGTTAATTCTCGGAGGTGGAATTCAGAAGTAGATGGATCTTGGCTAATGACGATGATGACGATGCTGACGATGGATGATATGCAACCTCTCGCTCTTGGACAGACGTTCGTGCTGTCAGTGCCCTGCGGCTTCCCGGAGCTCACTCCGTGGATGTCGGGCTTCCTGTCGGCGGTGGCCGAGAGTGACGACCTCGCGTCGTTGCAGCTCCCTCGCTCCTGGCTCGCCGAGGGCTCGGCGCTGCGCTCCGTCCGCCTGCGCCGGCCCCGCCACCTCATCCTCCCGCGCTGCTCGCTGCGCAGCCTCGACCTGGCGCACATGCTCGCCCTGCCGGCGCCAGGCCCCGCCCGCGGTGACGGGGATGACGGAGCTCGTGCCGCCGATCGTGAAGACGAGGGCCACGGCAACGACGACGACGGTGACCACGACGGCGACGCCGCCAGCCCGGCCCGCTCGTTGGTGACGCTCAACCTGAGCGGTTTCGCGTTCGGCCGTTTCGGGGTCCAGCGCCCGGAGCAGGCCTCCGTGGCCTTCCTGGACGCGTTGACGCGCGTGTGCCGCCGCGGCCTGCGCAGCCTCAACCTGGCCGGCGCCCACGTCCACCTGCCGCTGTCGCCGCCGGCGCCCGGGCAGCTGTGCCGGGCGCTGTCCCGCCTGCGCCGCCTGCGCTCGCTCGCGTTGCCGCTGTGCGCCGTGTCGTCGAGCTCCCCGGCGGGGCACGCGCCCGCTGGTGGGCGGGCGCCGGCGGTGTACGTGCGCCGGCGCGGCCCGAGTCTGCGATCCGGCGGAGACGCCGCGGGATCAGCGGAACAACGGGCGGAACCGCCGAGGGCGGCGCCGGAGATGCCGGCGCGCGGATTTGACAAGAAGATGCGGGTCATGAGGACTGCGCCGCTGACGGCGGCGGAGGCACCGGCGGTTGCGTTGCTCGGCGTAGCCGGTGACCCCGCCGACGCTGGCCCGTTTGCCGGATTGGTGTCTCGGCTGCCGCAGCTGCGCGAGTTGGAGCTGGTGTCGTCGAACTTCGTGTCGGCTTTGCCGCGGTTCGAAATGGCCAACCAGCAAGTGCGGCACTGCGGGCACGGCACGGCGTTCGGGGACGCAGAGATGGCGCTCATCGGGCAGCTACCGAACCTCCGCCGGCTCACGGTGGCGCAGGTACCCGGGGGGGGGCGAGGGGTTGCGCCCGGCTGGCGGGGCAGCCGGTTCCTGGCTGACGTGTGAGCGAGTGAGAAAATGATGGGATTGGTCGGTGGGTGTGCGAATGAATGGGTGGGTGGGCAAGTAGGTCAGTCATCAGGTGAGTGAAGAAGCGAATTAGTAAATGGGGGAGCAAGCAAGCGAGTGCCAGTTGGGTTAGCTCACCCATTTTCCAACTAAGATCCCAACGGATCGCTCGAACGACAACGGGAACCACCTTCGGCTTGCCTGTGCCCCCACCGACCTTGCCCCGGCAGGCACCCGAGGTGGTGACGGGCACCGGGCTGGTGGCACTCGCTCGGGGCTGCCGGCACCTGCAGGAGCTGTCCCTGGCGAACATCGGCAAACCTGCGCACGCCACGTACCTGCCGGCGCTGTGCCAGGCGCTGGCGCTGTGCCAGAGGCTGCACAGCTTTCGGTGAGTTCCCCCCCCAGGCGTACGATCGGCTACGATGACGATCACGACGATCACGACGATGACGACGATGATATTGCCCCTGCAAACAGCGCCGCCAGGGTGCACAACAGGGGATATTTGCTCTGGACCCCACAATGGACCTGGGGGATGAGGAGATGAGCGAGCCCGCGCGCCATTTTCCCCCAGGCCGCAAGAAACCTCTGGGCAGCTCTGCCTGCAACTTAAACCCCCACACATGCACAGTCTCAAATCCTTATCGCAGGGCCTCTGCGAGACTCTGTGGGCCTCTGTGAGAGTCTGCGGGACTCTGTACGAGTCTATAGGCCTTTGTATGAGTCTATAAGCCTTTGTGGGTGTATGCACCTCTGAGTCTATTGGCCTATAAGCGAGTCTTTTGGCCTTTGCGAGTCTGTTGGACTACGTGGGTCCGTGGGTCTCTGTGCGAGTCTGTTGGCGTCGGTGCGAGTCTTTTCGGGCCAGTGACGCGATAAAGGCCACCGCCGCTGCGATCCATTCAAACCCTCGACCTGAAGGTTTCTGTCGCCGGGGATCGGCACGTCACGGCACTGAAAAAAATGGCCCTGGCTCGGCTCGGCACGGGTGCCCAAGCGGAAAAGGCAGCCGTAGGGCGGCAATGGGCCACCGGGCGTGGCGTCTTATGGCGTCCGTCTGCAGGCGTGAGCCTTTCGGGAGACGGCCGTTTATAACAAATTACCTTGACGATCGTGCGACTGCAACGCAAACGGTGATGCCGAGGACCGCCATCCACCCATACGCCTTCCGACGCATCCAATAGAGACAAAGATCCCTCGTACAGCCTTGACAGACTGTTGGAGCAAGTGCTGTTCGCGAGAACTCCCGTGAAGGCCAGGAACAGTGCACGAGGGGATGGGTGGTAAGGACCACGCCCGGCCGCCTTTGTCTCCCCAGTGGCGATGTTTACACACTGCACCAGGTACTCATTTCAGGCCGTGTGGACCTCGGGCAGGCCCAGGACTGGTTCAGATAATCGTCACTCGTGGTGGCCATGAGTAGAAATCGAACCTGGATCGCTGGGTTCGTAGCGCCCCTCCACCCCCACCCCCACACACCCACCTAGCCCCACACACACCCACCCACACCCACCCACCCTTGTCTCCGGCACAGGCTGGAGCAGCCATACGTGAGTGCGGGCGCCACGTTTTTCCGGGCTCTCCTGCGCTGCCCCGAGCTGCAACGGCTGTGCGTGGTGTCGCGCGGGGGCGGACTGCCCGAGCCCGACGTCGCCCTCCACTTCGTCGCCGCCTCGCCCCACCTCGTCGTGTGCCACCTCTTCACGGGCGACACGCGCGTCACCTGCAAGGAGCTGCAGAAGGCCATCATGAGGAGGTGAGCATGGGAGTGAGGAGGAGGCAGGGGCCGCCGGTGGTAGTGGTGGTAGCGGTGATGATGACGATAATGTGATGATGACAAGATAACTATAGCGACGATGATTGACTGCAATAATAATGAATGAATGGGTGGGTGAGTGGCTGGGTTGGTGAGTGGGTTGGTGGGTTTGTGAGTGAGTCATTCAGTGGGTGGGAGGGTGATTAAGTGGGTGGGTAAGTGGGTGAGTTAGTGATGATGACGACAGATAATGATGATGAGGGTAATGTTGATTGTCGTAATAACGATGGCAGAGATGATAACGATTTTGTTTTCGATGTACCGCCCTCCTATATGCAGGAGGGGGCATCATCTCGGAGTGCATTACATCTCACATATCAACACATTTCAAAGGTCGCACCCCCAGTTGCAGCTGTCCCTGTGTGGCACAAGGTGACTCGGCACCTGGCCGGCAAGCGGGCTTCGTCTGCCGGTGGGGGGGCGGTGATCGCTGCTGTGTGCGTGATCCCAATGGACGATGGGAATGCTTTGGAGTTGGGGAATGAAAATTTGGGAAAGCCGCAACATCCGTAAATGCTACACGTGCCTGCACGAGTCTTGCGAGCCGAGAATTCACGAATTAATTGTTTCTCTCAAGGCCACACAAACATTGCTGTAGATTTACTGACAATACAACGGTAAAAAAACGTGGCCTTGGTCATAACATCCTCCACTAGAAAAACTGCCATTACCACCACCACCCGCCCCACCATCACCACCACCCGCCCCACCATCACCACTACCACCACAATCTGCATCACCACGACCCCCATCACCATCAACCACCCCCATCTTCATCACTACCACCCCCATCTCCACCAAGACGACACTTGCTACCACCACTACCACAATCTTCACCACCACCACCAACTCTGCGACCACGACACCCATCACCACCAGCCACCCCCATCTCTGCTACCACCACCACCCTGTTTACCACTACCAGCATTGTCTCCACTACCACCATTACTCTCCCATCCACCACCGACACCACAATGCTGTGTCAACAACAGCGTCATGTGGCTGGCGAGAGATAAGCCAGCGCCCCAAGTTCAGTCTGGGACAGGATGCAGATACTGCCCGCCCCCAACTCCGCTCCCCCGCCCTCCTACAGCACTCCCTTCCCCCATCTCTGCAACCCCCCCCCTCCCTGACTCCTACACTCAAGCCCCCACCCCGCTCCCTATCCCCACTTCCCCATCTCCCCCCCCACCTCCCGGTACCCCCTTTTTCCTGCAAAGACCCCTGATACCGCCACGTACCACGATCCTCCCCCACCAACTGCCACCACCACCCCTTGCTCCTCGTCACCTGCATCTCCCGTCCACCCACCCCTGCACCTAGGCCTCGGCAAGGTAAGGTAAAAGTTAAACGGTAAAAAAAACAAGAGAAACTTTACCCTACCTTTTACCTTACCACAAATACAATCGCGCTACCCTACCTTTTATCCTTTAGCAGGTAAGGTAAAAGGTAAAAAAGAACGAGCCTACCTTTACCTTACCTTTTACCCTTATCCCATACAAATTTCGCGATTACAGGGTAATTACTGGGGTAAAAAACATGGACATTTTTTTTTACGATAAATGCTAGTTAGAGCGCTTTATTCATTTTTCGATTTAAAGCTTTCGTGACTGCAGGGATTCATCTTCTTGGTTCTTTCGGTAAAGTCACGTAGAATGGAAATAATAAAATAATAAAAATAAAACATAATAAAATAATTCTCACGACGTTTCGGCCACAACGCAAGCAGTCGTCCTCAGGTGAAGACCAGGTCTGTCGGGGAGACAGCGTCTGAATGAAACAGCACCATGCTTGGAGCGTATATTTAATCTGGGTTGGAAGGGGGGGAAAGGGCGCCTTGACAAAATAATTTGCATATCAAAAGGAATTTAGCATATTTATGGGAAATGCAGGTATGTGGTTAGTACTACTTATGCCCGTGTATTATGCAGGATTAGCAGCATCAAAGGGAGGGGATATGGGAAATGCAGGTTTGTGATTAGTACTACTTATGCCCGTGCATTATGCAGGTTTAGCAGCATCAAAGGGAGGGGATATGGGAAATGCAGGTATGTGATTAGTACTACTTATGCCCGTGCATTATGCAGGATTAGCAGCATCACAGGGAGGGGATAGGGGTAGCATTAATAAAGGGAAGGAGTGTTAATAGTATGTAGCTGCAGTAACTAAACCCACCACGTAAACAACTAAAGTATAAACTACATAGTATCATCAGTATACTAAATATACTCTACAATAAGCTGAGTTACTAACAGTAAGTAATACATTACAATTCTATGTCGTAAAAAATATAATATGCTTCCATCTAAACTTTATTCTCTTACATCACACGAGTCTACACCGTACTATATACTGCCATAGACAAACCCAACGTTAAAGTATATACTGTATTGCTATTAACCATACATTGTAATATTACACTATGTATTATTCTACCCACCCTAATGTATATCACACTGCTGTATATGGTACAGTATATAATAACAATCGCTCTAAGGGCGGCTTCACCGTGATCACAATGACGGACGAGGTGCTCCATCGTCACCGGCACGAGATCCAATGTCGAATTGTGGTCCGCCGACAACGAGGCCATGACCTGGCGCGGCATTCGCAGGAATGCTGTCACGCCCTCGATGTTTGCCCACTGCAGTTCAGATAAAGCACCGACACCGATCACATCCTGGAAGCGCGCCATGATAATGTCCAATGGGACACGCTTCTTGATGGCGTCGTCGCCCATGTCAAACGTCGAATGCCACCTGGTCGGCGAGTCCTGGTGCGTCGGCTCCTTGCTGGCGAGCTTGGCGATCTCGGCCTCGTGGCGGTACGACTGCCGGACGACCTTGCTGCACCTGATATTGACGAGCGCCTTGCACAGTTTGGCATTTGTTGACTTGATCAGTTTTAGAACTTGGACGACGCCGATCTGGACGGAATGATCCGCACATCGAATATGGTGGCAAGCCCGCAACTGCTCATATCCGGCGTCCACGTTGACCAGGGCGAACAACGTCTTGACAGCACTGTTCGCATCGGAGCCATTGTCGCTGGTGACAGCGAGCAGCTTGGTCGAGATATTGTGCCCGAGGCTTTGGAGGTGCTCAAACAGAGTGGCCCCAATGCGCTTGCCGACACCCCTTCCGGACTGCACATCGAGGATTGTGTCAGCAGCATGGATTTTGACGCACCAGATTTGCTGTCGATCCAGTGCACCGTGACCATCCGAAATCCCTTCAGGTTGCGGTTCGACCACCCGTCGATGGTGAGCGAGATGGCGACGTTCAGGTTGGAGAAGAACGCCCCGACGATGGTCAGCATGATGGCGTGATGCTCGACAATCCTGCGAATGATGGTGCGGGTCGATGGGCCCTCGTATCCCGGCGTCAATGTGTTGACCAAGGTCTTGAACTTGTCGCTGCCGGCGGCTCGCAAAGAGATTGCACCTTGGATAACAAAATCCACCACCGCGTTCTCAAACTTTCCAGGAGGCGATCTGGGATTGCTGGCCGGCTCAGCGTTTGCTGTATTAGGCGGCTCGCCGACGCCAACGTCCCGACCTCGCTGCCTGGGGCGAGCACGTTGTGTTTCTTGAGGTGGGCTTTCCACCCCGACGCGTTCGTGTGGGTGGAAAACCACTTGCGGCAGCGCACGCACTGCCGCTTCCCTTGCTGTGCATGCGGATCACCCTCCATCCAATCGTGTGTGTGCTCCCACGGGAACGCATACCGCTGCCTCTTTCGATTGCTGTTCGCAGCAACCCCAAAAAAGCCGTTGCTGGCATCCTCGTCCTCTAGTACCTCGACCTCAAGAACGTGGACCGTCTCCATGTGCTCCGCCATCACTTTAAAATGGAGGCCACGGATTGCGTCACTGCGCCACGGAACTTTTAGCGGTAAACAAGGTACTGTATTTACCAGTAATTATTCGCCCTACCCTTACTCTACCGGGTAATTCTTCTGAGCTACCTTTACCCTACTCTTTACCTTACCCCTTGGCATGTCGAAACCTTTACCTTTACCCTTTTACCCGGTAATAAAGGTAATTTACCTTACCTTGCCGAGGCCTACCTGCACCCACCCCTCACCCACCCCATGCCCCCCCCCCCATGCCGCCCCAAGCTTTCCCATGATTCCTTGCGTGCTATTGTGCTCCTGGATTGTCTTTCCGCTGGTGATTTTATTCTTCTTAAACGAGGACAGATGTCTGCCTCGTGACCGATCGCCGGTGCCCGTTTTTGTCGCCGCTTTGTCCGTCTTTTGTTTAATTCCTTACGTCGCTTTAAGATCGATGTTGATGATAGATACATACATACGCTTGATACTGCGGGTTGTTGTGAACCGTAAACACGACACCGCCATCTGTCTTGCAGAGCGCGTGAGACATCGCGCTGCGGTTATCCAGCGGAGACACCGGAGGGTGGGCAGGCCCATCTGTGTGTCGGCAATTTTCCAGGTTCGATCGGCGAACCTACAAATGATCGCGGCGTATATTCTGCGGATTATAAGACGCTCTGGAAAGTAAGACGCACCACGAATTTGTGCCTGGTGTCAATGAAGTTATACGACAAAGATTACACCCCCCCCCCCCCCCATAGCCTTCAACAGAGTGTTTGGGGCAAGTTCTTTTAGCGAGCACCTATGAAGGGCAGCACCACGCCACCCAGTGCTAATGTTGACAAACCAAACTAGGTGCTCATTTTTGAGGCTGAGTCGACCTAGGGGAGCCCCCGGGACCGGTTTGAGATAATCGAACTCCCAAATACACTCGTAGCAGATGATAATTATACTCACTTGATACTGTACGCTGGAGAACACAGTGAACCCACGTACTGTATTTAGTTTGCCCCTTGGTTTATTTCAATTGCACCAAGAAACACGTGGAACAGAACATGCACAAGTTACAGACGTCGTATTGACTGTGAAGATGAACCTCGTTTGGGAGTTTTACAAATCTCTCCGTGTTCCAGCAGCCCTTGCCTCCGAAGCTGTGGATGTGCAAGCCCACAGCTAAAACAGCCCTTTGTCAATCCACTGCTGGATGAAAGGCCTCTGTGTCCTGGGAGTTAACTGACCATACTTCACCATGCTGGTGCAATGCGCTAGCCACTGCGCCACCGTTCCCCCTCCCCTTTATTTTACACAAATAGAATAAAATACTTTATTTAAAACAAGATCCTGTGCTTAACCTTGGCCTCAAGGCTGTACAGACAGTGCCATAGATTTACCGCACATGGTTAAACACTGCAAAGTAAAATATGACCTTGTCATTAGCAACTTCCAGCACAGCAATCACCCCCCCCCCCCCCCCCACACAGCAACCTTCAGCACCACCACCACCACAGCAACAACCCCACGGCAACCTCCAGCACCACAACAACAACCACACCCACAGCAACGTTCAGCACCACAACAACCACCACCCCCACAGCAACCCCCACCACCACAACCACCCCCACCACCAGCCTTACAACAACAACCACCACCCCCACTGCAACCTCCAGCACCACCACCACAACAACCACCCCCACAGCAACCCCCACCACCACAGCAACCCCCACCACCAGCCTTACAACAACAACCACCACCCCCACTGCAACCTCCAGCACCACCACCACAACAACCACCCCCACAGCAACCTGCACCACCACAACAACCACCCCCACAGCAACCCCCACCACCACAGCAACCCCCACCACCAGCCTTACAACAACAACCACCACCCCCACTGCAACCTCCAGCACCACCACCACAACAACCACCCCCACAGCAACCTGCACCACCACAACAACCACCCCCACAGCAACAACTACCACCACCCCCACAGCAACCTCCACCCCCACGGCAACCTCCACCACAACCAAGACTGCCACCACCAACCCTGTTCGTCTGTTCCCCCTCCTTCCTTGAATGACAAACACACTTCTCTGCGGAAGAGGCAATTCCTGCGTCTCTTCAGCAGCAGCAGCAGCAGCTGGACCTGCTGATAGCTGAAGAAGCAGCGGTGGTGGTGGGGGCGGCAGGGGGTGGGTGTGTGGGGGGGGATGCGGGAGATCGCTCTGATGTCGGCTGGCAAGGGGGGGGGGGCGGGCTGCTAGAGTCTAGGAAGGAAGATGAGGGCCTCTGGGACTGGGATTAAACAATCAAATGTTGATTAAACGCACGTCGCGACAGACGGTTCTTCGCTCAACCTCGCGCCCCCCCCCCCGCCCGGGGCTCCCTCTGTCCTCCATCTGAAAGCCCCCCCCCCCCGGCTCACCCGCCCCCCCCCGTTCCACGCTCTCGGTGGAAGAGCCTTGACTGGCGAGGCCACGTGGCAGTGCTGGTGGTGGTGCGCTCGTCGCTTATTGCGCGAAGTTCGCCGCTCGAAACGAGCGGCCGCCCTGGTTAATACGGCCTGTGCATCTCCGCCGTGAAACGTACGCGCCGTGTGCTTTGCGCTGGACTTGAGAGACACCCGCGGTGTTATTTCAACAAGGGCAGGCCGTGTGTGATGTGTTAACGTGTGTGTGTTGTTTTGCAGCTGGGTTAGGTCCGGTTAGATGCTCGGTATGTGTAAATGTGTGTGTATGTGGGGAGCGGTAGTGTAGCGCTTAGCGCGCTGCACTCCAAACCCGCCGAGCCGAGTTCGATTCCCCCTCGCAGCCAACACCACTGACAATTATCTGAACTGGTCCTGGGCCTCCCTTAGGTCGACTCGGCCTCAAATGAGTACCTGGTGCAATGTGTAAACATCGCTACGAGGGAGACAAAGGTGGCCGGGCACAGTGTTGGCCACCCAACTCTCCCATGTGCCGTGCCGGCCTTCATAAGCACTACTCGCTAACGGCGCTTGCTCCTCCAGTCTGTTAAGGCGATATGGGTGATCTTTGTCTTTGTTTCAGCGTGTGCCCGTCGCGCCCAGCTCTCAGCGTCGCCGTCTTCCCGCTCATGCACGACCTCCTGGGCGAGGTGATCCGCTCGCTGCCGCTCTCGCACCTCGACGACTTCACCCTCTTCCGCTCGCACGTCGCTCAGGAGCCGCCCGGACTGTGGCACTGACGAGAGATGAAGGGGGGTGGGTGGCGGAGGGGTGCGGGGCAATGGGTGGCAGTGGGTGGGTATGGGTGTTGCAGCTACATATTTGGGAATATTCAGGAGCCCGGCATCAGCACTGAGGCATCGTGCTCATCTCTCTTGTGTTGTACAGCCCTGCAGAGCCAGTGGTGGACATCGCACGATCCTAAGGCGAGTCTTTCAGTTGAACGACCGCCGTTGATTTCGCCGCAAAGTGGTACTGATTTTATCGACCCCGGAGGGAGGGATGCTGGGCTGAGTCAACGCCCACAACCAGGATGTGAACTCGCGGCCTTCCCATGGCGAGAGCCGCTCGCTCGACCGCTGAGCCACCCGGCCGGATTCAGGAGCCAGTGCCGGAGAATACAGGAGACGCTTTCATCCGATGAGATTTATCTGTGTGACCGAGGAACTAATGTTCGGGAATATTGCTTCACCTGATTATTATTTATACCCCCGTATTATTTTTGCGTGTCACAAAGGAGTCTTCAACATGAGTTTGTGAGTAGGTCTGTATCCATGTGTTTTCAGAAACGCGCTACGTTTTAAGACTAACTTACGCAACTTACGGGAAGTTGCTTCACCTTGCTTTTTTTTTGTACGGTTTAACGTCTTAATATAAATTTCATACGTCGGCTTTTACCACCGACATTAATGATTGATAATTCGTTGATTTTGAGTTAGATTGTCGTGGAGGTATAACGTAGATTTTTTTTCTTAACTAACACTCTTCACCGCCCAATGAGAGAGCCAATTAAATCGAGTGGGTCACCTCGTGGGCAATGGATTGAAAACTACATTCTTTAAAACTGCTTATTGCTGATCGTCCTTCCCCCGCACCTCTGATTAGCGCGGTTGGCTACGTACGGTGCAAAAGAAGTTTAACATATCCGTACAAAAGGTTCCACAGTGGCTCGGTTCGTCAGCAAAACTGGCGGAGGATTGAAAAGCGAGCAAGAAACATCTGGAACGTTTTGTAGGAGATTCCGACCGGCATCATCGGGTAATACCAAGAGCTCAGGGGTTGATAGTTTTTGTTTTCGCGAGATCTGAGCTCTTCTGAAACACCTGGTGATGCTGGTTGTGTAGTCTCCAGCGAGAAGTCCTCCATAACTGTGAAAATATCTTGCATATCTCGGATCTTAACTTTGTCCTAACAAATGTAGAACTTTCTCCTAAATCTGTAACCACCTTACCCCTAATAATAACCCCAAGACCTTAACCCTCACTTAACTTGGGGGGGGGGGGGTACAAATATGTAGTGGTGAAAGCAATACTAATTTCCTTGTAATTATTAGTTCCTGGGGATATATGTCCATGGGGATTACATGTCATATTCTAATTGTTTAATATTATTTGTTGTGTATCGTTGCTCTTGGGTAGAACGAGACGTTTGTTTACAGAGGAGGAGAAATGGAGTGAGCGACGTGCCTCACCTAGATGGATTCAGGGCGCCCCCTCCCACCCCGTCCCCCACCTGCGATTTAATAACGAGTCACGATCCAGGGTTATTATTCGATTCAAGAATCTATAAAAAAAAAACACCTGCCGACTGCAGCATGTGTGCTGCCTTCGTTAGCCTAAATATAACATTCGCGTATGCATTATTGCTTTGCATGCAATTTCCATGTAAATATGCACGACATTTGCATGTAGTTTGCACGGATTACCCGAGACTAGAAAGGAGCAACCAACTGGCACACGAACAAAACACGAAACTCGAAATAGCAATTCATACGAGACAAAGAACCCATTTCTAAATCGTGATAATTCATCGAATCGTTGTGGGTTCACGAGAACGTGACTGCCGAGCCGAGCTGAGATGTAATTCGGCCAAAACCGGCGGCCCAGGGTGGAGCTGCGTGTCGAGGGATGGGGGGGGGGGCGGTGCCAGGTAACGACACGGGCAGCGGAGTGATCTATATGAGCCAGGCAACCAAGGGCAAGAGAAGACCAAAGACCGAGAGGGTGGGAGACTGTGAGGGCAGATCTATGGGTGTCTGTGCGAGCCTCTGAATCTCATTGCGAGGCTATGGGTCTCTGTGCGAGTCTCAATGGTTTCTGTGTGAGGCTACGGGTGACTGTGTGAGTCTGAGTCACTTGCTAGTCAATGGGTCACTATGTGAGTCTGTGGGCCCATGGGTCTGTGCGGGTCTGTGCGGGTCTGTGCGGGTCTGTGGGCCCATGGGTTTGTGCGAGTCTACGAGTCTTAGTGTTGAGTTGTAACAGCAGCCGCTGGGATGCCTGTTAGTGCGGATCTTGGAGGTCCGCTGCGTGTCGACTGCAGGATCTGGCAGAGGGTAGAGAGCGTTGGTAGCGAGGCGTGATGGTGGTTTCATTGGCTTTGGCCATAGTGACGCCTCGATTTCTGGTGATTGGGGTGAATTGGTGCCCACGTAGGGGGGAGAGTTGTTCACGGTGATGCGAATTGGCCTGGGTCAGTTGGACTCGGCTTGCTTCGGGCCTGGACAATTACAACCAGGGTCAAGAATAGTAACGGAGTGGCAACCGGTGAATGGCACGTGTCCGAGAGCACGTCCATCGTGGAGACATTAAATCGGTTCACGTGCAGTTGCTGGGTGGGTTGTTACATCGCGTTACCATGAGAGGAGGGGGTTAGGTTTGGGGAGGCCCTCATCCAGCCGTGGATTGACTGTGGCTGATGATGAAATGCGACCAAGCCATGCACCTGACCTCGTAAGATCGCGGAAGCTAGGCAGGATTTAGCCTGGTCAGTACTTGAATAGGAGGCTCCTTGGTAATACCAGATGTTGCAATGGGCTGCTAGGTGACCATGGAAATGTCAGTATAGCAGTGGATTCTTAAATCCATCTGTGCAGAGCTTTGAGTCGGTGTGTGTGTATGTTTGGAGTGAGGGGTGGGGGGTATCTTGGTCCTGTGGTTTCTCTCCACACGAAGCTAAACTCTCATTCATGCAATTGGCCAAACATCCATGTGTCGCAGGACCCTCCTGAGTACCTGGTGCGAGGTGTGAACATCGCAACCCGGGAGACAAAGGCGGCCAGACATCCCAATGCTGAAATACTACCGTACAGGTCTGCCTCGATTTACGAACTCTTAAACTAAACTGAACGTTTCGGTTTACGAAAATTCACGTGAACACAATTGACAAATTGTGGACACTTTTCGACGAACGAAAATCGAGTTTCCGCGTATACAAAATGTCACTACGGCACGTGCCATGAGACCAAACAAGAAGCACCCGGGGGGGCCGCGACATCCATCCGCGACATCCATCCGCGACATCCATCCGCGGCATCCATCCGCGGCATCCATCCGCGGCATCCATCCGCGGCATCCATCCGCGACATCCATCCGCGACAGCGTCACAGTGTCCCGACAGGGCAGCAGCAACGCCTCCACATGGCCTTGCCAGTCACTGACACGTGCAGTTCTTTCGGTGAGTTCCCCGATAAGGTTAATCGTTTTTGGTTTACATTAATTATTATTTAATAGTTTTAATATTTGTTTATTATTTTTTGTATTGTGAAAAGTGATATAGGTGTATATTTTTAGGTTAGGAGTAGAGTTGGAATGAGTGTCCGAAACGCATCCCTAATTTCTAGTATTAATGGGAAAAGCCATTCCGATTCACGAAATTTCGCATCCCTTTCATAAACCCAGTTATACCTGTACCTGCAAATTATTCAATTGGGGTCTCACACAGCAACATGGCCCTCTACTGCGAAACCTTGTCAGGTCCCACCTGACAGAGTCTTGGGACTCAGCGAGGCCTTTCTGGGTAGATAAAGGACATTATTAATAAACATCATACACTGGGGGCCACATCAACTTCCTCTTGGTTCTACTCAATACGAGGCTTCGTTGCTTTTTTCCTCCCAGCTGGTTCGAGACTTGTTTCCACTTCTCTGGGACCATCTCGCATTTTAAATGAGCATGGCCAAGCAGGGGTGCATTTTCTGCTTGTTGCAGAGCTTCGCGGTTGGAGCCCAGCTGGACACCCGCCCTGGTTAATACTGCGGCTTGTGTCAAACGTAAGATTCCACCGCACCGTCTTGTTTCACAGTGGACGTGAAAGGCCATGTGGCGTCAGTTTAACATGTAGGCTTTCGCGACTAATATCCATTAAGAGGGTGTTTTTGTTTGTTTTGGGTCAGATCGCATTAATGTGTCGTTAAACCTGCCACCACCCAACACAGACAATTAGTAAGGTTTGTAATGTAAACAAAACACGCCAACTAGTTACTACCGTACTTCAGCACACCGGTGCGTTGGAGAGTAAACCCACAACATTTAACAAATCGAGTACGACGTTTCGCCGGTAATTACAACCAGCCTCATCAGGCGACAGCCATAATTCTGACGTTCAAAAGGGATTGCCCACGCGTGCCGGTGTCACGGTCCAAATATCCCAGTTTTATTATTCAATCATCAAACTCCAACTGATGTTCACTGATGATGATGAACCCACTCGTCGGGATCAGAACAGCCCATGCACAGTGAATTGCCATTGTTCACCAGTGCCTGGGAATGTTCACCAGGCCACGTGACATCACAACACCACTTTTTGGTGTCGAGGGTAGAACGTTGCCTATCCGGCTGGCTCACGTAACATCACTGGTTTGTGTCGAGGGTAGAACGTCGCCTATCCAGCTGGCTGTCGACTTGGGTATGGGTTGGTCATGTGAAAAGGTCAGATGTTTACTGTATGTCTATAGAATCGATCAAGACGGTTACACCCGGTCGTAAATACTGCCCTTGGGTGTGGGCACTTTACCGGTCAGGGCGCATATGCGAAGTCGGAGTATACAGTTAACTCGAGATTATCATCGGGTGGATTCATCCGGTCCGCTGATTAAACCTGCTTGCGAAAAAAATGTCTCGGGAATTGCACGCCCATTGGGTAAGTTGTACACACTTGCACTGGGCCCACGGTGTCACGGTTAACACACTGAAGTCTCCTGGCACGGCAGTTCTCATCCCCTCCCCGTTGCCTCTGTGCATCCAGCAGTGCAAATGGGTGCAGCGCAGTCCATCGGCAGGTGTGATGGTGGGTTAAAGTGTGGGTAACGCCCACCTCTTCCAAAACGTCTGGCCAATGTAGGTTTAAAAGTAAACTCTAATGCAGAGAACTCTTGCCAGCAGTGGCGTGAGCAAGCAATTTGCAGGGCTTCATTTTCGTGGTTCTTTCGGTAAAGTCACGTAAAAGGGAAATAATACAAATAAAACATAATAAAATAAAATTCTCACGACGTTTCGGCCACAACACAAGCACCCATCTTCAAGTGAAGAACAGAGCTGTCGGAAAGACAGCATCCCAATGAACACCGCTAAGCTTGGCAGCATATTTTCCCTTCTACGTGACTTTACCGAAAGAACCAAGGATATGAATCCCTGCAGTCACGAAAGCTTTAAATCGAAATTGCAGGGCTGTACCTTTATCTTTGTTTATGTTTTGCATTCTCCGAGTTTTTGTTGTGCCCGGGCCACTTCTCCACCCACCATTACCCCGGATAATTCCGGATAATTGAGAGTTTGTTTCTACATCTCATTGGACCATAGCTTGTTGGGGTCACAGAAATAAACTAACATGGGCCTCGAGTTGCATAACCCTGGTGTATTATGCGCACTTTGTTTGTTAATGGCTGTGTTCTTGTTTGTTGTATTGAATCGGCAATATTAAACACACACTGTCTTACGACTTCAATGAGTCGATCTAGTCTTGTGTTTGAAAGGCTGCACTGTTGGAATTAAACGAGCGATGAGATTACGCCCATCCATCTCATCTTTACATCCATAAGCCAGTGTGCCGTACTGACCTTCATTGGGGCTCGCTAACAGCACTTGCCTCAAAAGTCTGCTAAGGCTGTACGGGGGGGGGGGGGGGGGGTCTTTGTATATGTTGGTGGTGCTGACGCATGTCTTTGATCCAGCGCTCTTGCAGGCAAGGGTTAGTGGATCACGCAGATCGAGATTCGCGAAACGCTCCAAACCCGCGTTGCTGCGACGTGGCCCAGGCAGATGCAGCCCAGCAAGTGGATCAGTGAACCCATCTGCACGGAGCTTTGTGAGCCTCATCGTCTCGTGAGTGGAACTTCCACGCCTGGATCTGCGGGGGTTGCCGGCAGGCTCAATGGTCATTATGAGCAGGAAATCACTTTGTGAGCAGCGCTCCACGCTTCTTTCCACACAGCTGCACGCAGTCTAAACACAATAACAAACTCAACACATTCGTCAACAGCAATGTGGACCTCAAAAGGAAAGTTACATCATAGGCGACGTTTCGGGAAATTGCCTTTATTCACGTAACTTGTGTCTACAACATCCTTACATGACGTGAACCCCTGCAGCCACTCGGGGCGCTACAACGCTCTGTACTGCCATGTCCTTCCATCTGGCTATGTGCATGATGTCCATGATATTTACTCAAGAAATGTGCATCGGATACTCCCAGTTGCATCCAATCGTTCAAATTAATGACGTCCTTAATTCGCTGTCTTCCCCGGCTTGTTTTACTGCACCTATAATTGCCCCCAGTCAAAGCCACATTTATATTGAGTCTCTTGCTTCTCCGTTTACAGGTAGTCCTCTACTTAGGATGGAGATGCGTTACGACGACCCCATCGTAAGTCGAAAATATCGTAAGTCGAAAATATCGTAAGTCGAAGATGGCCTAGCCTACCCATGAGTCTTAAAGAATGGTGATAATTTAGCAAAACAAAAGCAATTTACAGTACCGTACTGTATAAACTATATACTGTATGCATTTATTAATTACAATACTGTATTGCACGGTAAAAAGTAAAAAAAATGAACCCGTAAAAACAAAGTTTTTCACTATAAATCATTTATATGCGTGGCGGCTAGAGTCCTCTCGTCCTCTGGCTTGAGATGGCTGCCACCTATGGGTCAGATGATTGCCTGCCACCATTAAGCAATTGGTAATTAAATATAATTTATTTTTTCCTAAAAAGTGTAAAATTGTCACGCACAACAAGTCTGTGTGCAAAATGTCAGCTCGATTGGATCACGGGAAGTGGGTTAAAAAACGACCGAAAGATTTGCACGGTCGTAAGCGCGCAAGCAAGCAAGTGAACTTAATATAAAGGATTTAAAAAAGGTAAATTATTAGCCTACCTATATGAACTGCAATTTAATAGAAAGTTTTTCAGGAAACAATCCTATCTGCTGTAAAAACTTTTAACATGCATTGAACGTATCGTATTGTGGTAACCTTAAAATGAAATCGCTAAAGCTACGTATCATACATGCATTGAACGTATCGTATCATATTGCACTGTTATTGTACTCTACTCACTAAAATTATGTCCGTCGTCTGCATACTTGAACGATGTTAGGGTTATTGATGGCAATTTTGTCGTATCGCTATCGCCATCGTAAGATCGAAATATAGTCGGACCATCGTAACTCGTGGACTACCTGTACGTGTCCAATAAATATTACTTTCCTTTTTCGAATTATTATAAATGTTGTTGTGTAATGCTTCTGTCCATAGCACATGTACGTCACCCATGTTGTCTGTTCGTCAACTGTTTACCATCCTAGTTTGCTCTGCGGGGTCTTTACAATGCACGCACGAACGCACGACCATCAAATAAAACAAAATCGATTCTTCAATCGGGATTCGAGTAACAAATGACTATGACATCATCGCGTGGCGAGATGTTAACTGCCTCGCCTGGTATACAGGAGGTCTTGGGTTCAATCCCGACCCTGACGCCTGCTGTATATTTGTAGTTTGCGTGTCTCTCTATCATCATCATCATCAGGGTGGCTAGGGGATGTTAACTGCCTCGCCTGGTATACAGGACGTCTCGTGGGTTCGATCCCGACCCTGACGCCTGCTGCTGTATATTTGGAGTTTGCGGTGTTTGTCTCCCCGTGGTCAAGTAGAATTGTCTCCGGGTCCTCCGGTCGTGTCCCTCCACATTGAGAATGAACACCACGCGTTTAGAGCGTTTTGGCCGCTATACATGTCCACGTGATAAGCCACTAAGTTGAACTACCATATGTGACCAGGTCGCTTCTGAAGCTGTTGTAGCTCCAGTGGTCCCTTACCTGGTAAAAAAACAGAAAAAAACATCGTTTAGTTTATACTTAATCTGTGTGCCTATGTACGTCTCTCTATGTATCTCTGTGATATGTCTCTACTTATATGTCTGTCTATATGTCTGTGTTTTATCTCTCTCTCAAATTTAGCATTCTCAGGAAGAACGTAATCAACCAGGTAGGGTGTTGACTGTTATGTTATCCGACTCTCTGTTGTATAACATTACATTTCTAAGTATACTAGATTTGTGTTTCTATTTCATTTATACCTGATGACGATTGCTTGTGTTGCAATGGAAACGTCGTATGCTAATATTTAATTTATTATTTTATCTTTATACGTGACTTTACCGAGAGAACCAAAGAGTAATCGTTTAGTTTGACCGCCGTTTCCAACTCAGTGGCGGTGGCGTCACCACAGCGCTTGTGCCAGGCAAGGTGCACCTTGAAGCCGTCACGTGTGTCACTGAATGTTGAACTTCTTTCGCAGCCGCACGTGGCCCACCGTGCCGATGTGAGGTGCGGTTCGTGGGACAAAACGAACTTAAGCGCAGTCTCCATCCCTGTTGAGTTTGCACGCGAAGTGCGTGAGGCTGCCTGTGGGGCAAGAGGCATCACGGGACACAGATGCCAACGTGGCTTGACTGAACGAGATGACCGGCAGATGCCCCCCCCCACCACCCACCTGTGCCGCCAACTCGCTGCGTCGATTTTATCGCCCGGCGCTCCGCTCGCTGTTGTGAGCGTCGCTCCTTTTTTTACACGCTTTTTATTAACTCACTCCGTCTGTTGTTGTATCCTTAAAAACATATTGTAACTCAATTTTAACCCATTTCCCAATGTACTATCGACTGCAAACTTGGTATACTTATGTCATGCTGATGGCAATACTATATTCTATCATAAAAAAATACAAATATATGTTTTAACATTTTACACGCTTTTATTTAACTCACTCTGGCTGTTGTATCCTCAAATCTTTTAACTATTTCAACCGTCTTCCCAATGTGGTATCGACTGAAAACTTGGTATAGGTATGTCATACTGCTGACAATACTATATTCTATCATTAAAAATAAAACACATTTAAACCATCTTTTTTAAATCCTTTATATTAAGTTCGCTTGCTTGCTTGCGTGCTTGCTTGCTTGCCTACGATCGTGCAATTCTTTCGGTCGTTTTTTAACCCACTTCCCGTGATCCAATCGAGCTGACATTTTCCACACAGACTCGTTGTGCGTGACAATTAATTTACGTGAAAAAAAATTTCAAAATTTTACACTGTTTAGGGAATTTTTTTTAAATATTTAATTACCAATTGCTTAATGCTGGCAGACAATCATCTGACCCATAGGTGGCAGCCATCTCAAGCTAGAGGACGAGAGGACTCTAGCCGCCACGCATATAAAGGATTTATAGTGAAAAACTTTGTTTTTACGGGTTATACTTATTATGTGTTATGTTTCGGCTTGGGTCTAATTGTCCACGCTCAACTCACGTTGGCTGCAAATCACCACGGTCCCTTACGTTGTGGCAAGCTTCGGGGCCACTTCCTGGAGTTATTCCATTACTAGTCGGGCACATTTAATTAAAGCGTGTTTTAAAAGAAAGTTTGTTTTTAAAATATTACTTGTTTTTTTCCTTCTTTCTCCGCCCTCCGCCGTTTTGCTTTGGAGTGCGACTCGCCCACACGCAACATCAAACATCGCGATTGGCCATTCGCGAAGTCTCCTCGCCAAGCCCAGCCGCTCACAGTTCCCCACCTCGGCACCACCCCCACCACCACCAACTACCCACCACCACCAACACCACCAACTACCCACCACCACCAACTACCCACCACCACCAACACCACCAACTACCCACCACCACCAACTACCCACCACCACCAACTACCCACCACCACCAACACCACCAACTACCCACCACCACCAACTACCCACCAACACCACCACCAACTACCCACCAACACCACCACCAACTACCCACCACCACCACCAACTACCCACCACTACCCACCACCCCCAACAACCCACCACCACCAACACCACCAACTACCCACCACCCCCACCACCAACTACCCACCACTACCCACCACCAACTACCCACCACCATCACCGACCCACCGACACCACCACACCGACCCACCACCACCACCCACACCGCCACCACCACCACCGCCACCACCACCGACCCACCAACACCACCAACCTCACCGGGGGTTGTGTTTAGGGGAGGGTCGGGCAGCGACGCTGGTGATTGATGGACAGCGACAACTGCCCGTAGCGCGGTGAGGAGTCACCTCCGGGGAGAGAAGCTAAGGGCGAGGAAGGGTCTCGAAGGCGGCAATATGGACACGTTCCCGCTCATCATCTACATCTTGGCGGCCAAGAGTATCCTGCTGTGCCTGGGATTCATGTGGGCGAAGCGCTACCAGGCGAGGCGCCTCGAGAGGCTGGCGGTGCAGGCGGCGCAGGCGGCCCAGGCGCGCCGCGAGGCCGAGAGGGAGAAGGCGGACGGCGCGGGAGAGGCGAGTCGAGCGGCCGGGCTGAAGGAGGATTGAGGCCCGAGGTGAGTGGGGAGGGGGGGGTGAGTGGGGAGGGGGGGGGGTGAGTGGGGGGGGGTGGTGAGTGGGGGGGGGTGAGTGAGGGGGGGGGGTGAGTGGGGGGGTGAGTGGGGGGGGTGAGTGGGGGGGTGAGTGGGGGGGGGTGAGTGGGGGGGGGGTGAGTGGGGGGGGGGTGAGTGAGGGGGGGGTGAGTGGGGGGGTGAGTGGGGGGGGTGAGTGGGGGGGTGAGTGGGGGGGGGTGAGTGGGGGGGGGGTGAGTGGGGGGGGGGTGAGTGGGGGGGGGGTGAGTGGGGGGGGGTGAGTGGGGGGGGGTGAGTGGGGGGGTGAGTGGGGGGGGGTGACAGAGGGGGGGGGTGGTGAGTGGGGGGGGGGTGAGTGGGGGGTGGTGAGTGGGGGGGGGGGGGTGGTGAGTGGGGGGGTTGTGAGTGGGGGGGGGTGAGGGGGGGGGGACGTGGTGAGTGAGGGGGGGGTGGTGAGTGGGGGGGTGGGGGGGGTGAGGGGGGGAGGTGGTGAATAGGGGGGGTGAGTGGGGGGGGGTGAGTGAGTGGGGGGGTGGTGAGTGGTGGGGGGGGTGGTGAGTGGTGGGAGCGTGGTGAGTGGGGGGGTGGTGAGTGGTGGGGGGGGTGGTGAGTGGTGGGAGGGGGTGGTGAGTGGGGGGAGCGTGGTGAGTGGGGGGGTGGTGAGTGGGGGGGGGAGCGTGGTGAGTGGGGGGGGGGGGCGTGGTGAGTGGGGGGTGGTGAGTGGGGGGGGTGAGTGGGGGGGGGTGGTGAGTGGTGGGGGGGGTGGTAGGTGGGGGGGGGGTGGTGAGTGGGGGGGGGGAGCGTGGTGAGTGACGATTATCTGAACCCGTCCTGGGCCTCCCCTAGGTCGTACTCAGCCTCAAATGAGTTACTCGGTGCGCTGTGTAAACATCGCCGCTGGGGAGACAAAGGCGGCCCGGCGTGGTGTTGGTCACTCTCCGCCTCGTGTGCTGTACCGGTCTTAATAGGTGCTCGCTAACAGCACTTGCCCCAACAGTCTGTCCAGGCTATACGGGGGATCTTTATCTTTGTCATCTCAGTCAGCCAACCCATGGGCACCTGGGTCTGTCCCGTGACCTCCTGGCAGCGAGCCTTCCACACTCCACGTGACGGCCTCAAGGTGCACCTAGCCTGGCACAAGCGCCTTGTCGACGTGGTGGATAGGTCGCGTCGTGGTCAGCGCACCGGGTGACGATTCCAGCGACCCGAAGACCGCCGCTTGTTTGCAGAGGTTCACGGTTCGATTCCAGCGGCCGCCCTGATTAATACTGCGGTGTGGATTAGCCAAAGTCAATACCATATGCAAGACTATGCCATTGTGTGCCGGCGTCAGGGTTCAAATTTGCTAAATGTTCGAAATAACATCGCAAATGAATCAATTGGGACTATAATTCCCCCCCCCTCACTACTGACAGACTAATGCCCCAGGTCGCTCTTGCCAATGACTCCTCGACAAAATAAACGTGAATTTGAACCTATTGCTTACAATTGCTACCAGCAATCCATTGGTACATTCATCCATCCAAAACTCCCTGAAGTCATCCATTCGTCTCTCCCTGTAGATTACAATCCGTCCACCCATCCATTAATCACCCCCCTGCAGAAAAGCTCACGTCCATCACTAAATAGATTAATCCATCCTTCCATCCCTTCATTCCCATGCCCAATCAATCACTGAATAATAATAATACTCACTCCATCCATTGCCTCATCAATCAATACCAACATCCGTTCCGTTCATAACTCCCTCAACCACTCCATCACTTCGTCCATCACTCCACCACTCCCTCCCATCAACTCCATCCATCACTCCATCCCTTCCTCTCTCTCTCTGTCACTCCATCGTTCACTATAAATCACTCCTTCTCTCACGCCCTCCGTCAGTCCACCACTCCCTCCACTATGAACCACGCCATCACTCCATCGCTTCATCCCTCCATCCATCTTCACCTCCCCGGCGGCAAGTACAGTTCAACACGTGTTGACCTGTACAGTACAGGCACCAAGCAGCCCAGTGTGTTTGCGTGCACTGCAGATAAGCACACAACCGCCATGGTTATGCGGAATTCCCACTGCCGTTTCACGTGAGCAGCAGCAGCTATCTCCATCTTTGTGGACCCGATTCACGCCTTTTTAACCCAATGTTTTGGAGGCAAAGGTTAGTGGATCACGCACAGATTACTGAAACTTCCCAACAACAGCTATGCAATACAGGAAGTGGGTTGGTGGACCTAAATACATGGATGGTGCTTTGACAGTGTTTGCCCGCTCATATCTATGTATGGGTGGCAGGGTTTCTCTGGTGTTCTTGGTCTCACTGCCACATACATACTCATTATTTAAACGTAAATAATTGGCCAACACCCCAACTCAGTGATGCTCTCCTTAATATATATTCATCACATTTTCTGCGGATTAATAGAGCACACTTTCCTTCGCCCCCCCTCTTGTGTTTTAAAGCGAAAGCTAAGGGGTGCGTTATTCGGTGGGTGTGTGAGAGAGAGAGCATGTTGGTGCAACTTCATTTATACAGAGCATAAGTTAGGGGTTCGTCTTACTTTGCGAAAGCGTCTTATAGTCCGGTGAATACGGTATTGATGACTTCAGCTATACGCGGGTACAATTCCCCAAGCACGTTTCGCCAACATCGTCAACATAGTTACGTTTATTTTAAGAGTTTCTTACTCCAACGCGTTGCCCGAAATAGGATTGCCGATATCGTTTTTTAATGCGACGATACGATCTCGAGTTTCACGGTACGGAGGATCATCGTGTAACATATGTAGAGTAATTGTATGATGCATTTTTTTTTACTTTTTTTTAAATATCCCGAACAAACAATACATGAGCAGTGGTATCACAGTGTAATGATATAAAAAAACGGACGATACAATGATCGTGGATCTTATATCGTTCGTACGAGATAGAGTCGTATTGCCATATTGTGTCAATACCTTGGCACGTGATGACCTATTGACCTCGTGTTATTATTTCGTTCGTTCGCCCAGAAAATCCTCACCGAGTCCCAAGATTCCTTTTCAGGTGGGGTCCTGCCAAGTTTTTCACAGTAGGGGGGGACGATGTTGCTGCTGCTGCTGTGTGTAATCCCAGTTGAGTTATTTGCAAGGTTCATTTGCAGCATCGCTAACTTTTGGCCAGCATCGGTTACATTGTGTGGTTTTATTTTAGCCATGGGCGAAACCTCGGGAGAAAACCGTGCAAGACCAAGGGGAGAACATGCAAACTCTGTGGAGAAAGGCACCCCCCGCTGAGTCTGAAATCGAATCCAGTGGCGAGCATTAGCACTGTGCCACCCTCCTGCCTGTTGACCCATACGAACCCGGCGGCTCGAGTTCGATTCCCAACTGTGGCTAAAACACCACTGGCAAATATATGAACCAGTCCTAGTCCTTCCCTAGGTCGACTCGGCATTAAGTAAGTACCTGATTGGGTGTGTGGTTCTGGCCACACCACCCCGTGTTGGCCTTCATAGGTCTTGGTAGGTGAGTGAGTGAATGTATGTGCATGGGTGTGTATGTGATGTATGTGAGTGTGTGTATATGTGTATATCACTCTATCCCAGATGACGCAGACACCTGGGTTGGAGTGATCGGAAGGCATGGACCAGATCAGCTCAATAATAACGGAAGGAGCCTGCTAGACTTCTGTGTAGCCTGTGGGCTTGTAATTACCAACACGCTGTTCCGGCATCGGCGCACCCACACAACATCACGAATGCATGCCAGGTCCAAGCATGAATATCTGCTGGACTATATAATAATGGACCAGTGGATGTAGACCCATGTCCTTGACACCAGGACCTACCATAGAGCTGATCTGCCCACTGACCATCGATTTGTTATCTGTAAAATGCGCCTGCCATTCTTTCACTCATTAAAACCCACAGTGGCCTGGTCTCGGCTAGCTGAGGATAGATGCTGAGAGGTAAATGGGTGAGGTTCAGGACTGTGGCTCATGCAGCTGCAACGGCTGCATTGGGTTTCTGATCCAGACCTCCGCAGAGACCCTGGCTGATGGAGGAGGTGTTCCAGCTGGTGAAAAGAAAACGACAAGCCCACTTCCGCCGCCTACAACATCCAACATCGGAGAATGAGAAGTCTTACCCGCAGCCTTCGCTCGGAGATTTAGAGAGCCGTGCGGTGCTGCAAGGATGAGTGGTGGGTGCTGGTTGCTGTGGAGATGGAATCTGCCACAGTAGCCAGCAATTACAAATCACTATTTAATTGAATCAAAAACGTTACTTTCAGGGCCTCACCTATCACCATTCTTAAGGGAAAGAACGGCAATCCGATCTCCGACCCTCAGGAACATGTCTGCAGATTTGCTGAGCATTTTTGTGAGGTATTCTTTGGTTCTTTCGGTAAAGTCACGTAGATAGAAAATAATAAAATAAAAATAAAACAAGCGGTCGTCATTTTTTTTCCTCCGCCTGATGACAACTGATTGTGTTGCGATCGAAACGCCGTGAGTTTTTGTTTTTTTATTACATTTTAAAAATTATTTAAATGTTATTATTTTCTATCTACGTGACTTTACCGAAAGAACCAAAGAATATGAATTCCTGCAGTCACAGAAGTTTTAAGTCAAAATTTCCGTGAGGTCTTGGGAGAGGGGAATTCCCTCAGCCCAGACAAGATCATGGGGCAAGGTGGGGACGACCCTGCTAGGGCTGCGGTGCCTCAAACATTGCCAGAAGTAGCCACCTCTTCTGAACGGTTGGCTGAGGTTCCATCTGTAGAGTAAGTGCAGGGGGTGATCCGAAGTCTGAGACCAGGAAAAGCGCCGGGCAGAGATGATCTCCCAAGCAAAATGCTGAGGGAGGGTGGCATCTGTGTGTAGACTCCCCTACATGACATCACAACTGTCTGGACCACAGGACGGGTTCCGCAGGATTGGAAGGATGCCCTGGTCTTCCCCCTCTTTAAGAGGGGGGACCACACAGATTGTAAAAAAACTATAGGGGCATCTCTCTCATTGTGCCGGGAAACGTCCTGGCAAGGATTATTCAACATTGCCTTGGCAGGCACGCTGAGGAGAGACTTGCGGAGCCCCAATGTGGTTTCAGACCAAGGCGGTCCTTCACGGATGCCATATTCTCTGTCCGTCTGCTACATTAGAGGTGTAGGAAATTCCAACAAGACTTACACCTCTGCTTTATTAACCTGGTCAAGACTTACTAAGAGGTGGGGTCTTACCATCAGCCCCACCAAAACTAAGCACCTGCCTGGGTATTTTCGTGCCACCAAACACTCCACCCCTCAGCTCCCCATTGGTGATGGAACAGTTGTGGAGAAAGCGGAGAGTTTACCATACCTGTGCAGTGTGCTTATGACCAGCTCCGGTTTGACAGCAGAAGTCTCACTCCGAATCAGTCGGGCGACATCGGCTGTGTAATGCCGCTGTGTGGAAGCTACCTGGTCTGTCGCTCCGCACGACGCTTCGGGTCTTCTCGACCACATTCATGCCCTCCCTTCTCTATGCTTGTGAAACGTGGACCCCTGTAATGGAACATCTGCGCCGATTGGAAACATTCATGCTGGCATGCCGACTATCCATCCTGTGTTTAACCAGGCTGGATTGTGTGAGGAGCTCACAAATCTTGGAAAGATCTGGAAACATTCACATCAGTGAGCTCCTCCGGCAGGCAAGGCTACGTTGGCTGGGTCATGTAGCCCGCATACTCAGCCACGACATGCATCTTCTATTTAGCCACATAGAGGGGGCTAAACGGGTACGACATGGGCTGGAGAAGAGATGGACTGATGCGGTACGGGAGGATGTGGAGCGGAGTGGACTTGCCGACGACTGGTACCAGCAGTGTCAAGATTGTGAAGGATGCTACTGGGCAGTTGGAGGCAGTTGCCCTCCAGCAACAACGGAGGACAGAGGAGCGACGCTCACAACAATGAGCGGAGCGCCGGGCGACTAAAATACAGCAAGTTGGCACAGTAGGGGGTACAGCTGGTGTGCATCTATCCGTCATCTCAGTCTGCCAACCTATGGCACCTGGGTCTGTCCAGAGATCTCCTGTCAGCGAGCCTTCGACACTTCACGTGGCCTCAAAGTGCACCTGACCTGGCACAGACGCCATGGTGACATCACCCTCACTTCGTGTTGAATGGCGGGTATTGGTTGTGTTTATATGTGGGGAGCGGCAGTGTTGAGCGCGCTGCTCTACGAACCAGTGATGTTTATCTGAACCCGTCTTGAGCCTCCCCGGGGTCGATTTAACCTCAAACGAGTACCTGGTACTGTGTGTAAATATCTAAACTAGGGAGATAATGGCGGAAGGGCATGGTGCTGGCCACCCCACCCCCGATTGGGTTATGCTGGCCTTCATAGGTGCTCACTAACAGCACTTGCCACAAACGTTTGTTGAGGCTATACGGAGGATCTCAGTCATCTCAGTTAGTCGACCCATGACACCTGGGTCTGCCCCGTGACTTCCTGCCAGCGGGCGTTCGACACTTCACGTGGCTTCAAGGTGCACATGGCCTGGCACAAGCGTCGTGGTGACGTCACCGCCACTTAGTGGCGAATGGCGGCTGTTGCTGTTGTTGTGTGTCACTGCACACGTTGCGACCGACATGTTGCTTCTCAGGGGATTATCCAGGTAACAAAGAAAACATTTTCATGAACAAGATAATTAAGCAACCTAATTTCATTTCTTGTATTTCAAAGTAAAAAAAACAGCTTTTTTTAAATTCCACATTTCCAAACTCTTCTAATTGGATTACACATTACATTTGAACCTTAACCCCTAAGGAGATTTGTTTTAGAAGGGGAAAAAAACAGATTACAGTAATTAATAATTAGTGCGTTTGTAAAGTTTAACATGAGACTTTGCTTCGTATTTTTCCACCAAAAATACACATTAATTCAACCGAGGGCCGCTCGCAGCACAGAGGTCGCCGGTTTGATTCAATCTCCCGGTGCGGCAGCTGAAACATCTGTGGAGGTTTCTTAAATCCACCTACCCCCCGACTGCGCCTGCCCACCCAGCCAGCAGCAAAAGCGGCTGCAGCAGCAGCAGCATAAACGGGGACAGCACTCGTGTTGAGTGGCAGGTTCGCGTGTGCGGTGGTGGGGTGACGTGGGGGAAACTCGCACCTCTTTCGACGCGTCTTGCCAGCGTGGAAGACCAAATGTCTCGTTCCCCCCAGCGGGGGAAGGGGCCATCTTATTTTTCCGCCAGCAGTGACGCGAGCGGGTGAACTGCAGGGCTCCACCTTCACCTTATTGGTGGCCACAATGGAAGGGTTGGATGTGGATGTGCATGGCCGAGTTGGTAGTCTTCACGAATTGGTAGAAGAAGAAGAGAAACAACACAGGATAAACATGATCGATTTTGGAATCGAATAATCGTGGCCGTCCATCGCTCTAATCAATTGAATCGCCGGCAGCGCAAGAGGTGGGGGATGAAGGTGGATTGGAGATAGATCTGGCCCCCACCATCACAAGACATTCTCCGACCACATACCTGGCAACCCACACGTTCTGCCCGTATTCTTGTACAGGGAAACTGAGTTTCCAGGTTCATACGGCGTACAGCCGTTTTAATATTGGCAAAAAAGTATCTATTTGTTTGCGTTTCTTGGGACGTTGTAGGATGAACGTTGAGATTCATAAGGGGCACGGGGTGACCAATAAGGTCTGAATTGGTTTGTATTAAGGTAAGCACCGATACGGGGTTGACAGATATGCTAAGTTTTATTAAGCAGGGCCATTGCCTGAAACGTCGCTCATGGCAGCACTGTTGATGCGCATGTTGAGTTGTTTTTGGTTTATTTGTGGTTTTAAATTCCAGAGTCGGCTGTTATGAACCAGATCTCACTTTACACTCAAAGTCAACACATTCGTGAGCAACACTGTGTGGCCTCAAAATGAAACAGCACGTGTCGTAATAGGCGACGCTTCGAGCACTTGCCCTTTTTCAGAGGACGAGGTACACGAGTTTATGTGGTCAGATCACGTGACATGAGGGTGGGGGTCGGGGGGGGAGGGCTACCCCAATCCCCCCTCCCCTTAACCTCCTCACCCTCCTCTCCCCCTCCTCTCAGAGCTTGCATAGGAATTCTTTCAGGCAGCTCAAGTATTCAAGTTACAGGGATTTACCCCCTCCCCCTTCAATTCCAACCCGGGCCGCCCCACAACCCCCTCTAACCCCCCCTCCTGTCCCTGCCTCGCCGGGCACACAATTAGAATGCGGCGATTGTGAGCGATTAAGCCCAGCTGTTGCTCAGCGATGCGTGAAGCGGCTACGCGGCTTCCAGCTGCCCCCCCCTCGAACCCTCCACCCCCCCCTCCAAAACACCCCCCTCCCCTCCACGCCCCCCTCCCCTAGATTTCGCAGCCGCAGCAACATCGCTACTACACTCCTCTCCTCCTCGCCCCATCTCTTCACTTGCTCTCCTGATTTTGCCTCCTCTGACCATCATCATCACATCATCATCATCCTCCTCTCATCTCCCTCTTGATCTCCCACTTTCCATCTTCTGCCTTAATGGTCACCCCCCCCCCCCCCCCCATCTTCGTTTGCCCCTCTTCTATCTCCTCCTGCTTTGTAGCAGATTCTGAGCGCGTTCTCATTGACAGGCTAAGCGGGGACTTGGGCTTCCAGTGTTCAGATCCACGTTGACATCACGTGGGTGTCAGCCGATGCCAGAGGTCGCAAACGGGTTTTGATTCCTTACCCGTACCCGACCGCACCAGGGTCGCAAACGGCTACCCGTACCCGTACCCGGCTGGGTACGGGTAGCCGGGTATCGGGTAGGGTACGGGTATCGGGTACCCGATTGCGACCTTTGGTCGATGCACGTCGTGCCAACCTAGCCGATGTATCTAAAGATAAAACGGAAAAAGGTGCAGCCCTGCAAGTTGCTTCCTCACTCCACTGCTGGTGGAAGGCCCTCTGCCAGAGGAACGTCTCCAGTGGGTATTTGGCCTACTCTTCCACTCTGGAACACGTGGGAGTACCCACGCTTTACCCCACGGCGCACGTGACTTTGCTCGTCGAGGCGGAGGGGAGATTTAAGAAACTCGCCGAGTCAGAATCTGTATTTACACCGTAGCAACCCGATGAGCTACAGATGTCCGGTAGTTTCCGCAGATGTCCAGAGTCGAGAGCAAGTCCAGTGTTGCTCGCCATTCAACGCTACACCATCTCCCGACCCACTCCCGCTCATCCCCCTCCCCGCTCATCTCCCTCCCCACTCATCTCTCTCCTCTTCTCGTTTCGCCTGTCATCTTCCTCCGGTGTCCCTCCTTCCCTTCATCCCCAGCCCCTCCCCAGCCCCTCCCGTGTGTTCTCCCAACCACAGACTGAAACCCGACTCGCCTCTGCTGCGCGCGTGAGGGGCGGCCATCGCTGGGGCGAGCGTGAGATGTGGCTCCTGTCCATCCGAGCCTCTGGCGCAGAAACGCGGACAGCCGTGCCATGGAGATGCGGGGACGGTGGCAGTGGCGGTGGTGGCGGTGGCGGCAGGTTGCGGAGACTATTTCCTTCCGTTCTTGAAGACGCTTCATTCGGAACGTACGGTCGTCGTCATCAGCCGTGATCTATCCCCTGCTGGATGGAGGCTCCCCAGGCCGTCGCCACCCCCCCCCCTCCCACGTGGTCCTGCGGTGTCACGATCAATATCGCCGCTGCACGTGAACCGAAGTCATCGCTCCATCTCCACTCTGGGCGTCCTCTTGGGGGCACTTTCCCTTCAGCGGCTGCCAGTCCATCCGCACCATCGACCGTCGTCTCTTCCCCGCGATGGCGTGTCCAGCCCGAGCCAACTTCCTGTCCTGAAGGCATCGCGACGTCTCCGACTTGCGTGTGGCCCTCAGTGTTTCTATCTCGGTGTAATTTTCGAGCATAAACCTCGCCATGATTTCTCTGCGCACTTTTCAGTTTTTGTTTTCCTATTTTCTTCGTCGGCGTCGGCGTTTCCCATTGCGTAGCCGCCGTAGAGGCCGGCGTTGCGCGACGCAGGTGCCGATCGATTGTCGTGTTCTGCGATAATCGATTATGGAATTCATTGTCGGTTCACGGGGGGGGGGGGGGGGGTCGACGATCGAACCCTAGGAACGGTGAAACCGATTCTTTGCGATTGGTCACGTTACAGCCCGTTCGCATACGGCCGGCAGTGATGGCGGCGGTGGTGGTGGCTACGCTGCTGCACGTGGCCGCTGTAGAGGCAGCAGCGAGGGTTGCTGACCGTGCAACGTGGTGCGAAACTCCCCGTGGGTGTGAGGATGAGCCGTAGCCCAGCTAGCCAGAAGGCGGTACAGCAAAGTGCGGATGGTACAGAGCATTGCGCCCCTCCCCCCCCCATCCACTAGCTCACCGCCTGGCTACCCTCCCGCTTTTCTGTTGTTCATCGGGGATTTTGAGATGCAATTTTAGATGAACAATGGCACGATACATAACTAAACATGATTATTTTTATTAAAAAATTATAATATGCTGGAAAGCCTTGTCAGCGCAATGCTGGATGGCGTCCACTGCAGCCCGAATTATCTGGACCGAGATCAGGGGAAGGCAACAGGGGGAGAGCAGAGAGAGAGAGAGACCGTGGCACGATCTGGTATGAAGTAACCGTGACGCAACAACAACAACAACAGCCGTAACAACAACAACAACAACACGGAGCCCCAGGGTAGCTAGGACAGCACCAATGAGCCATGAGCCCCAGTGCATCTTGGGGGAGAGGGGGTGGGGTGGGGGCATTTGAATTTTTAAACAATGGATATGAAGTAATAACATTATAGTCTCGGGTGTATTGTTTGTGGTCATAGTGACAACATTACCGTTCACGGTAAGATTGACTTCATAAAGCAGGCAATTGCAGAATGGTGGTCCGGTGGTGTGTGTTCCTGACACGGGTGCGGCGGGAGTTTCACTCCTCACCCGCTGGGTTGACATTTGTTGTTCACAGGCGAGTAGACGATGGCAACATTGAATAAACGTATCTATTTCAGCCACAAGAGCGAACTTTGCCAGAGAGTGACGGTCATGTCGAGGGCAGGTGGATGAAACGAACGGTGCGCGAAAAAGCGATGGACGAGTGGTTGGTTGCGTGGGTTTTTCCCGCAGTTGATGACACGCACATACAGCCCCTTGGGTCGATCCACTGCTGGATGATGAGAGTCCTCCCCATGCCACTCCAAGGGGCGTCAGTCGAGTTACTCTCCGCTTCATGCCGGTCGGTTGGTTTCAAGACGCCGGGGGAGCATAGCGGAATAGTACAACGGTCCGCTTTGTCGCCGCTGCCCACGAGGTTGGGTCGTGGCGGAACACGGCAGCCGCGGTTCGGTCGAGCGGCGGTCGCCTGTCCAAGTTTCAAGTTTTTTTCAAGTTTCATTTATTAGGTAGAGCCCTGTGAGCCATGCGGCTCTCTTAAGTCGGGTGCAACCGCAACAAACAAAATATGAACACAAAACATCTTAAAGCGACGACGCTTAACAGAGACATCCTGGAATAAACGAGCAAATATGAAAAAAAACGCTGCCCAGGCTAAAACAAACAAAAACACCTTGCTGAGCTTGGGAGATTTGGCGAGATTCCTCCCACGCCAGAGGTCGCAACCGGGTACCCGATACCCGTACCCTACCCGATACCCGGCTACCCGTACCCGGCCAGTTACGGGTACGGGTAGCCGTTTGCGACCATGGTGCGGCCGGGTACGGGTACGGGTAGGCCGTGAGTCACTGGTGAGTAACCGTTAGTCACATTTCCCAACGTCTTGTCTCTTCTCACAATTCAAGTTCCTAGAATCAACCCACCCGCGCCTGCAACATGGCTTCATCCCAGAGGTCGCAATCGGGTACCCGATACCCGTACCCTACCCGATACCCGGCTACCCGTACCCGGCCGGGTACGGGTACCCATTTGCGACCCTGGTGCGGCCGGGTACGGGTACGGGTAAGGAATCAAAACCCGTTTGCGACCTCTGTCCCACGCACACCGCGGGAGGAATTTTCCCCATCGGGTTGCCCCGTGCGTGAGCGCAAAAGGAACTGGACACGTTCGTCAACAACCAAGGGTGGCACAGTCGGGTTTTTTTACAATCGGGTTTAATTGTCTTTTTAAATTAAACCCGATCATCTGAGATTGGGAGAAATCCGGTTTAATTGGTTCTTATTGCAGAACCGCACTTCGCCAACTTCTGAACGATGGGCTTCATCCATTCCAAGCTAAGGAACTCACTGGCGCCCACGATTGTGGAGGAGAAGCTCGTGTTCATCAAGACCAACCTGCCCGCCGCATTCTACGACTACCCCGTGCCCGACGCCCCCCCCCCCCCCCCCCCCCGAGTACGATAGCAGCACCGACGAGGAAGCAGCCTAAGCCTATCAGAGTTTCGTATTAATTAAACCAGGTTTTAATTCCCCAAAATCGGGTTTAATTGTATTAAAGAAAAAACCCGATGCCTGCCGCTGGAAAAATCGGGTTTTTTCCACCCATGTCAACAACACCTGTGGCCTTTACAGAAAATCATAATCCGTGACGTTTCGGGCAATGGTTCTTCTTCAAAGTAGAGCACACAAATCGGGAGGACGCCGGGGAGAGAGAGAGAGAGCATTCGTAAGGTTACTGCGCATAACACCGTGGGGGGCCTCGTAGGTAACTATTCATGCGCCAATTAAAAAAAAACTTTTATCAAATATTAAATTCTCATCAGGCCTCCGTGATGTAAAGTGCAGTACTGTATCCAATCATTAATTCGACCTTTCTGGTCTCTCTGCTATCAAGAAGGATCATTGCCCGGAACGTCGGCTATTTTTAAATCCTTTATATTAAGTTCACTTGCTTGCTTGCTTGCGTGCTTACGACCGTGGAAATCTTTCAGTCGTTTTTTAACCCACTTCCCGTGATCCAATCGAGCTGACATTTTGCACACAGCCTCGTTGTGCGTTGCAATGTATTTTCGTGAAAAAAAATTCCGTAACTTTACACTTTTTAGGAAAAACATTTAATTACCAATTGCTTAATGGTGGCAGGCAATCATCTGACCCATAGGTGGCAGCCATCTCAAGCCAGAGGACGAGAGGACTCTAGCCGCCACGCATATAAAGGATTTATAGTGAAAAACTTTGTTTTTACGGGTTAAGTTTTTAAATCCTTTATATTAAGTTCGCTTGGTTGCTTGCTTGCGTGCTTGCTTGCTTGCTTACGACCGTGCAAATCTTCCGGTCGTTTTTTTAACCCACTTCCCGTGATCCAATCGAGCTGACATTTTGCACACAGACTCGTTGTGCGAGACAATTAGTGTTCGTGAATTTTTTTTCTCCAAAATTTTACACTGTTTAGGGAAAACAAATTAAAAGTTTAATTACCAATTGCTTAATACTGGCAGACAATCATCTGACCCATAGGTGGCAGCCATCTCAAGTCAGAGGACGAGAGGACTCTAGCCGCCACGCATATAAAGGATTTATAGTGAAAAACTTTGTTTTTACGGGTTATACTTATTATATTTTATATATTTTATTTCGCTTAACGGCTACAGTGTTATTGCAGATTGTGTTGAGTTTTGCTGTTGTTATTTGTGCACCACTTCCAATGCAGCAGCAGCAGCATTAGCATCACCGGTTAATTTGTCTAAATATTAAAGATAACTTTGGGCTCCGAGTCTGAAATCGATTTTGCTTCTTGCGTAGAACCTAAGGGAAGAGTTGCTGACGGGTGCGTGCACGTGTGTGTGTGTCTCTCTTTGTACGTGTGTGTGAGAATGTGTGTGTCTTTCTCTGTACGTGTGAATGAGAGTGTGTATGAGTGTGTGTCTCTCTCTGTACGTGTGTATGTGTGTGTCTCTCTCTGTACGTGTGTATGTGTGTGTCTCTCTCTGTACGTGTGTGTGAGAGTGTATGTATGTTTATTTACACTCAGCCTCAAACGAGTACTGTCCCTGGTGCGGTGTGTAAACATCGCCACTGGGGAGACAAAGGCGGCCGGGCGTGGTTCTGGTCACCCACCCCCTTGTGTGCCGTGCCAGCCTTGATAGGTCCTCGCTGACAGCACTTGCCCCCGTACGGCCTCTTAAAGGCTACACGGGGGGCTCTTTGTAGCTGAGTGTACGCGTGATTGTGTGTGGGGAGCCGTCGTGTCGTGGACAGCGCGCTGCGATACGAACCCGGCGACCCCCGCGTTCGATTCCCGCCCACGACCGGAAAACAAAGGCGGTCCGGCGTGGTTCTGGCTGGCCACTCCCCCACCCCACCTCGTGCCCCGAAATGAGACTTTTTTAATAGTCGCCCACTAACGGCGCTTGCCGTCAAGAAAAGTCTGAAGTGTAACCCGCTGCGCGTGCGGAGCAATTTCTCGACCAAGAGCGCCGTGCAGGACCTTCCCTGGCTTCACCCTCTAGGACTCGATCAGTGCGCCTAATGCACTCGCAACATTTCGCAGGGGGTAAGGCCTCGTCGGTGGGGGGGTGGGGGCGCATGGGATGAGGTCGCTTGACGTGTAAGAGCCCCCCCCCCCCCTCCCCCCCCCCCCCCGCTACGTGCAGGCTAACACGGGGAGATGTTCGTATCTGCAACTCGTTGAAGGCGTCTCGTTACAATGATGGCTGTGTCCGGAGATGTCAACTTTGCTTAATGCTCCGTCACCTCTGTCCCTGAGCGACCTGACCCCCATTATTTACGGGGGCCCCCTTAGGGGTTTGCATTAAGGGGGTAGGGGGGGGGGGGGTTCCCCTGCACGACGAGGAGGGTAGTGGGAGTAGGGCGACATATGGAAATCGTTGTTGCCCCTGGCCAGTGGAGCCGCCGCGATATGGCGATACTACGATATATCGTAGCATCGTGATATCGTCAGGAATACCGGGGTGGCGGGCAATGAATGGAACCCGTCCGCGGAGACGGAGCGACGACATCAACAAGTGCT